TAGCAAGTCTGCCTTATCTCTGGAGCTCGGGGGTGAGAAATGTGACCACTATCAATGTCCATAGTTCATTTCCCCTAGGCCTTTTCTTTTCACAGATTGTGTTCATCTGAACCATTTTATTTTTTATTTACCAAAGTACTGTACTTGGCTATTTGCAGTGTTTTCAAAACCAAATGTTTCCTTTTTTGTTTTTAATCTTTACTACTTGGTGCAATAGAAGCTGCAAAGATGTGCCACTTATCTATGAAATGGAGTTTTGTATACCAATAAATTCTAGTTTAAAAACAAAGTTTTAGCTCTTTCTTTTCTTTGCTAAAAACCTTCCTATAGAAGGACTTGGTTACTCAGATTTAGTTCAATTTAGTTACCCATCTAAACATTCAGGAATCCACCCAACATTGATGACCCTCTGCTATATATAGCTAATATTTCTGGGTAGTGACCCAGACATGGGCCCGTCCTCAAAAAGCTTCCAGTCCAGGGGGCAAAAGGAACATGTGACTGTGACCGGAGAGAACACATGCCCTAATGGAAGGCTGAGAAGGTGATTGTGAACACAGCCATCAGGACATCAAGGAAGGCTCTTATAGGAGGTGGCATTGGGACCAGGAGTGAAAGGGGAGAGAGGATGCAGAATAGAGCATTTTGTACCTAAGGACCATCATAAGCAAAACCCTGGAGTGGGAACGTCCATGTAGTTAAGATAGTTTATTAAGGGTACAAATTTTGGAGGAAGACTGGGGACTTATTTGTTCACATGCTTCCCATGTCCCTTTTGCTACTGGAAGATTAATACCATGCTTGCCGAGTGAGTTCTAAAGACCAGGTGTGCTTAGTTCAGCCTGGTTGCTTTCTTGGTGTATGGAATAGGTCTTGTGTACTTTCTGACCTGGGGACGTTACAGGTAGCTGTGAGGTCTCTCCAGCCAGTTTTATCTGTCTGTGGGCTGTCAGCTCAAGGACACTGAAGATTAATATTTTAAAACATAAGGCCCATTTAAGATAAATGAGCACTCAGATGGTAGTGAACCAACAGACTGTTTGCATGAATCATATAGCATTAGTGTGTGGCATCAGTTCCCTAAAATAGTTCCAGTTGTCATGAGCCCATGGATTCAACTGAACAGATACTTATTTAGCATCTGTGGTGCGATGATGCCGCAGGGGAGGCAAAAGGACAGGTGATTGGGCATGGATGGAGTGTTAGTAACGCACCAGGCACTCTGAATTCATTGTCTCCTAGGAAGCTTAAAACCACCCCACAGGGCTGATACTCTTTCTGTATTTTACACATGAAAGAGTAAGTAAATGGACCAAGATCACAAGTGGTAGCAGAAGCAGGATTTGGACCCAGGACTGCCTACTGCCATCACACAAGAACCCAAATAATGGGTAAGCAGCACTAGTAAAGGTCCCAAAACATGAGCTGGCCTTCAGAGGAGACTGAATTCTGCTCCAGCTGGGAAAGGTGGAATTTGAGGTGCATTCGTGGATAGGAGAAGCTTTTTAGGTTGAGGGAAGCTATTGCATGAAGGAATGAAGGCAAGAAAGCAGTGGATAATGGAGAGCCACTGATGGTATGGCGGGGAGGAGTTGACTGGATGGACATCAAGCCATTGGTGGACGGGAGAGAGACTGGATGAAGGAGGGAGGCCCTTTGGTCCTGATTCTCTACTCTTAGCTTTAGTTAGTGTAGAATATTTGCTCTCTGCCTGCCAGTTAACCCATCTAATTTTTCTCTATTCCTAGCACTCAACCTAATGCCAGAAACGTAGTTTATACAAAGCTTATTGAAAGAAAGGATGATCTTTAATAGTATTCAGTTCTCCAGCTGCAACATTGCAAAGAACCTCAGAGAAGCAGACACACGTCCGTGGAATCATAATCAGACTCTTCAGTTAGCTCGGGAATTCCATTGTGATTTCTAATCACTTATTCAGCAAGTGATTTAATTGGGCACTTCATGCCTAGCTTCTGTTAGGGGGGTAAGTAGGAACAAAAGCAAAAACAATCCAAACCCTGTCTTCAAAATGGAAGAGATATGCTATGAAACATTGAGGTCAATGTCCTCTCACCAGCCTTGGTGTAGTCCTTTGCCTTACTCATTTATCCACGCATTCATCTGAAGAATTAATACACATAAAGCCCTGAGAACAGTGCCCTGTAAACTCTAGGTGCTTAATAAAATGTTATACCTGTGAAGCCAGAATTAGACAGTATAGATAGATAAATCGAGTCTGGTCAGATCAAGGAGGCCACTTTGAGTGAGTCTGGGAAGTTGGAAACTGTCCCACCCCAGAGGGCCTTCAGAGCCCTTCCTTCACCCTATCAAGATAACCCTCCCCTGCTCCAACCAGTTGCTAAGGCAACCTGCCCCAGGAATTGCCCCTCCTTACAGGGAGCTGTAAAGTTGTTAATTAATATGTCCTGGGCTGCTCCAGCCTGCCCTTCCCTGTTCAGCCCACCTGTTTCCCACCACTGGGCCACCCCACCGACCTTTCCTAGGCCTAGTCACAGGGAGGAGAAAGATAAGGGCAAGAGAGCAGGAGAACAAAGGAAGCCTAAGACGCATAAAAGGGCAGAACACCTCACTTCTCGGGATACCAGGAACCAGCTAGGGCCCCCTTCTCACTCCCGGGAGAAGTCTATGTTACCCCTTTTAAAGTAAACCCTGCCTTAGGCTTGCTTCGGCGTGCTTCTCTAATGTTTAAACTTCAACGAGAGGGAGCAGGTCACCGATAACCAGCGTTATCACTTGTTATTTTAACATTCATTCATAGGACCAAATGCTTATTTATGTGCTAGGCATATAAATATGCTGTCACACATACTCATTTATTTAAACCTCACCACAACCATCTGTCAGGGGAATGTCATTGTTCCATTTTACAAATACAGAGACTGAATCTGTGACCAGGCTTCGAAGATTTTCACCTGCGCACCTGGAGGTCTTGTTAACCTATTGAAGGATTCAGCAGGGCTGGAGTAAGGGCTGTTTTTCTAACAAGACCCCCTGCTGCTGCTGCTGCTGTCCACACACCCCTGAGCAGTCAGTGCGCCAACACACCCCCTGTTGCTAAGAGGATGAACACAGATGTGTACCTGGAGCCTCTGACTTCAGTTCAGAGCTCTCCTTTTCCTTTTTCAGTCATTTTCACAAGTCTGCAACTAGAAACCAAGTGCATTATAGATCCACACATATGCAGATGGAATCCAAACCTTCTCCTCGATTCATTCATTGAACATTTATTGAGCTCTGGAAAAACAAAGGATACGACTTGTCCATGAGTGACCAAGGGGCTCACCACCTGTGGTCACAGCCGGTTGCACTGGCATCTGTCTTTAGTTGCAGTTCTCACATTTTTGGACAGTTACAATGGGAAGATTACCAGGTCCTCATCCCATTATGCCCAGAAGTCACCTCTCTACTCTACCCAAGTCAGCTCCTTTTCCCCGACTTTCTTATTTCTGCAGACACACCAATACCCTAAGATGGTGGGAAGTCCTTCTCTGATGATTCCTTAGCATATTCATTACTGACAATGCAAGTTTAGGAATTTCACCAGCCTGAGGAACTGCCCAGGGGGTGAAGGGAAATCCATGTGAACCGAATTTGGGTTTCTTCCTAGTAGTCTGAACAAGTTGGACACCAGAGGGCGCCTCAGGATCACGTTCCCTGACAAATCAGACTCAGGCTCACAGAAGCCAATTTTGTTTCAAGACACCATCTCTGGGTGGTTCCAACTTTGGGTCAATTACAACAGCAAAGCTCACATACTGGTCCCCCATGCTATTTTTTTTTCTAGCTCAGAGCTTTGTTGTCTTTTTAAAGTCTAGGAGGATGCATCCCTTTGATTTCTTGTGCTCCTCAAAGTCCTCATGGGTGTATGCACACCATATGAAGGATGAAAGGGAGTGAAGTTTATCCAGCCGGGCCACAGCTTTGTACCATGCAGCACATGGTCTCCTTCAATAGGCTCATCGTGGTCCTGTAGGATTCCATCCGTGTCTGGCAGCTGCTGGAGACAGCAGATCTGCAGTCCAGAGTTAAATCTGCTGAGGCTTGTGGCTTTCAGAACTGGCTGTTTCTTTGGTGGCAATCCTTTGGTTGACCTGCCATGTTGTACCCTCTCCTCTTCCTGCTCTCTCAGGAGCATCACAGGCTGCATATGCTCACAGCTGGCCTACCCTAGATATGTGATCTTTCCAAGGTAACAACTATTGGGTCTGGTCAACATGGCCGTGTCACAACACTGGCAGCTGATGCCAACTTCTTGAAAAAATTAAGGGAGAAGAGCAAGGATACCCTGGTACAGTGTCCCTTCTCTGACTCTCAGGTGTCAAAAAAGGGGGTTAGATAAGATGGATCTGGAGCTACTTTTCCCTCTAAATCAGTCTTTGTCAGTGGGGGCGTTTTGAGGCCTGATGACAGTGGGGACAATATTTTTAGGTTGGTAGTTTTTATCTTTCTTACATTAAGCCATATGGCCAGAAATATTCCTTTTGGAGATTGCCATTATTGTCTCAGAGAAGATTGTAGAACTTTAGAAGAAGAGAATAATGGAAACTTACTGCTGTGGAAAATTAAAAGGACTTAATATTGGCATTACAGATGGGACCCCAAATCAGATTCATTCCTACTGTATTCCAGTGCTTAGCACCAGGGTGGTGCATGGCAGGTGCTCAAAATATGAACGAATGAACAAATGAATAAATGAAAGAACGGGATTATAGACTAATCAAAACCTAGCATGACAAAATCTGCAAATCAGAGAATCCTAGAATTAAAGAGAGCATATTCACTTATTCAGAAGAGAGAATGGGTGGGGTTACTGAGTCTTGTGGGTGCTGCAGAGGCCCATGGCTCCTGAGGCTCTTCCTGGGGGAAGTGTGGAAACTCTGGGGAAGGGACGGAATTTTCCAGAGGGAGGGCCTTGGGTTCTAAACTTCTTCAGGCCTGGGATTATGGCAGCCTGAGGCAGGGCTGCAGCCAAGCAGAGTTTAGCAGGGTGGGGTGGGTCCTGTGCACAGCTTGTTGGGGTAATGGGCATATTTGCGGTTGTAGGTGCTCACATAGCGGCGGAAGCAGAGGGCAGCCCTCCTGTCGCACTCGCAGGTCCGCCTCTGGCAGGTGGTCTTGCCGGCTGGATGAAATAGGTAAGTCAGGCACTAAGGTTGGAGGCGCGGGATTCCCGCTCTCGGACACGGTTGGGACGGCTCCCGGCTGCTCTTGGGTTCATGTTCTCAACCTCATCCTCAGCCCCATTCTGATGGGAGCCTGCACTCAAGGGGGCTGTTCCAGAATGGGGGAGTCAAGGGCAGAGCGTGGGAGACCCTGTGAAGGCCAGAAGTTGGCCCTCACTGTCCCTCCTTCCTTCCCCAGGCCCACTCTCATGGCCCTTGGCCCCCTCCTGCCTGGTTCTCACCTGTCCCCATCCAGGGATTTCTGGGCAACTCCTTCCTCCTGTGATGGTGCACCGAGGAGCGGGGAAACTACGGGAGGTAGTGTCAATTCTAGATGGCTGTTCATGCTGGAAGCCTTACTTGGGGCCCCCTTCCTGCTCCCACCGGAGAGGACAGAACCTATTTTTCTTCCCACACCAGCCTAGGAATTAGACCTCCCAGACCATTGTCCCTGAGGCTGGCTGGCATCAGTTCTGCAGGCACCCGAGCTGCAGAAGGCTCCTGTTCTCTGCACCGACTCATTTTTGTCCCCACAAATACATCTCTCTCCACAAGGGTCCTGGTGCCTCCTCCCCCTCACCCAAAGATGAGCCTTTATTTCCCTTCAGGATTCTGCCCACGCCTGCTATTTCAGCAGGACTCAGGATTGGGGAGCTTGACATCTTGACAGCCACCCTGTTGGGTGCAGAGCAGGCTGAACTGTGTTGTCTGCAGGGCAGGCTGAACAGATGTTGGCTGCAAGATAGCCCACGCACTCAAACCCCCCTCTATCTGGTCCTTTATCACCTGTTTGCCTCAAGGCTGAACACTTAACCCCCCCTTGGGCCAACAACGCAGCTTGCAGACCCAGAGGCCCCATTAGATTTGGGCTATAAAAACTCCCTCCTGCCAGGCCCCCCTCTCTCTTGCTCTCTTTGTCTTTCTTGCGCGTGCTCTCTGTCTCTCTCTTGCTCTTGCTCTCTCCCTCTTCATCTCTCCTCTTCTCTTTTCTCTCTTTCTTTCCTTCTTTCTTTTTTCTTTGTTGCACTGCTGCAATAAAGCTCTCTTGGTCACTCTGTTGTGGTCACTTTTCTTTCACACCCTCTTTTGGGGGGTTCCTTCCAGGAGCTGGGCTGAGCTAGGGAGGGGGGTATGATTACCTCCTTATTAGATGAGGATGCAGAGGTTTCCAGGGGCTGTGTCACCTTCCTAAAGTCACATGGTGGGCAGAAGGTGAAGCCCTGAGAAGAACCCAGGGCCCAGACCTCCCGGCCCCCTCCCCTCTTCTCACAGCTGACTATCCCAGCCTTGCATGAAGCTCAGGGGTGGGGCGCTCACCACCTTTACCTTACACAGCTGCTCTCCTGAGTGGACCGCGGAAGGAACAAGACCCTCTGAGCTACCTCTGCCTTGGAGGTGCTGGCCTGGCTCTGTCCCTCCCCTCTGGTAGACCTTTGATACCTGCGCAGTCCTTTCGCAGGAGAGGACTCCAGGTCCATCTCTGCACCACACCCATGGGGCCCTGCCCTCCCTCCAGGCTATGCCTGGCTTTATAGCAGGAAGGCCGGCTTCTGATCCGCCTGCCCCCCTACACTCTGTCTCAGTTGAGGCTGCTTCCCCAGCTGGAGACCAGAGGAGGGATGGACCGTCCAGGGCATTGGATGTGGCAAAGTGGAGAGAACCGGCCCAGCCTGATAACCCTAATAAGGGGAATCAGCCTTTGGGAATGGGGTCTGCTGTCCCAAATCAAAACTCCAGCTGCCTCCATCCTGGGGACCTGAGATGGGTGTGTGAGTCCAGCTCATTTGGGTGTGGCTCAGCTGGGCCCCTCCTGCACCCTCCCCAGAGGCTGGAGCTGGGAGGAGTCTCTGGGTGGGGAGGAAGTTCCTGAGGCTGAGGCAGGGACTGGGGCTGCACCAATGGACCTTGGCTTCTCTAGCCCAGATGCCTGGTGAGCATGGAGACAGAGGGACAGGTCTCTGCACACCACTGACAATGGGAAACCCCATTCCTCCAGTCCAGGGTCTGCCCCTGACAAGGCCGAAGGTCACATCAGGAGGGGGATCCAGTCTGAAGCTGCCCCTCCCCACAACATGTGGATTGCTCCGGGTCTGTCCACTCACCACAGAAGATGTCTTGCTGGCCGACAGAGAAAAGGTACTTTTCCAGTTTGGGTTCACAGCCCAGCTTCTCCAGCCGCCCATAGCAACAGTCATGGGCGTGGCAGCACCTGCGGGGTCATGGTCAACTGGAGGGGCCTGTGAGCCAGGCGAGGCTGGACAGGGATGGCTGGGGCACAGCCCAAAGGAGCTCGGAGGAGAGGGTCAGTTGCTGGTCTCTCAGTGCCCCCAGATCCTTCCCCCTCCCAGGGTGCTCCTCCCAGAGTGTTCCCCTTGCTGGCCACCTCCTCACCAGTCTGTCTGGTCCACTGGCCAGTGGGACCCACCGATGCCACAGTAGCAGCCATAATCATTGTACTGCAGAGCTGACTTCCCTGTCATCCTCTCGATCATCACCCCAAACTGGACCAGGTTCCCGCTGGCCATGGCCACTGTGGAGGAGGAGGGAGCCTTTCACCCAGGGCCCACCCCTCATGTCACTCAAATCTGATTCCAGACAGCTCAACGTTTGTCTAGTGAAGCTTCTCTCCTCGAAGCACCCCGTCACCAATAACAACAATGATACTAAGTAGTGACCCCTCCAGTGGCATCCTTTGGGTCTTAATCCTATCGACCCCACTCCTTCACGTCAGCCACACACCCCCACTCTCCTCCACCACCCCAAGAATATCCCTCACTCACCCTTCTGGGGACCCCCATTGGCTTTTCACATTTCTCCCAAAGACCTTCATTGTACCCCCAGCTGTTAGCCCTGGTCTCCTCCAAGAGCCCTCTGTCCCCTGAGGTCTCACAGATACCACAGGACATGATTCCTAACTCCCTCAAGGGACCCCCCTGAATTCCTCCAGATCCTCCCAATGCAGCCATGGCGCGGTGCCCACCGAGGCAGGTTGGAGCCAAAAATGAAGCCAGTACAGGGAGGAGCCCGAGTGTGCTGCTGGGGTCCCTGCCAGCCCCTGTCCCGTGCTCCCACCCCTCCTCGGGCTGCGCTCTCCCCCCTACTCCCCCATCTCCTCCAGCCACTGCTGGCTTGGGCAGAACTGGCTTATCCCCTGGTGGCAAGAAGAGGGGGTCCCCAGTAGTTGGTACCCCTGATGCCCTCTGGAGAACCAAGCTCAGGGGTATCCAGCAGGCTCCGGGTTGCCAGATAGCGGGGGCGGGAAGGGGGACCGTCACAGGTCATGAGTTCACTTACCCAGGAGGCAAAGGAAGGCCAGAAGATGGGGAGGGTTCATCTTGGGGGTCTCGGAAGAGGTGAGCAGGGGGCAGAGGAGCCTGAGAGTGGAAGGGAGTGAGCAGGGGCGCTCTGAATTCAGGGCACCTCCCAGTCAGTTAAATACCCAGTTCTGTCCACTCCCCGTCATTAACCCCAGAGTGCCCAGTGATGCAACCCCTGAGTGCCTTCAGGTCTGAGACTCTGGCCAAGTCCCCAGAGGAGGGGCCAGCTGGGCCCACAGCCCAGGAAGCAGGGGATGTAATGGCTGTCCCCTCTCATGTCCTCCGTCACCTACCCCTTTCCTAGCCACTGTCCTGGTGCCCCTGGTACCCAGGGCCTGGGCTGGGCTTTTCTTTCTTGGCATCTTTCCCTCATCCTGTTTTATGGATTCGGCGACTAAGACCCAGAGAGGAGGAGAAACTTGAGCTCTCACAGCGGGAGTGCCACGTGCTGGGTCTGCCCCGTTTCCACATTCCCACTGGGTGAACTGGAGGCAAGACGCCCTCCCCAGGCCTTCCCCGCTCCCGACCTGCGACTGGGATAACTTGACCATCCACTTCCATCAACGATCAGGAGCTGCTGGCCCTGGCCTGGGAGTCCTGGTTCTGCCACTTATTACGTGGCCGGGGCAGATGCTTTACCTTACTTGGATCCTCAGTTTTCCTGTGTAGATGACGGGGGTAGAAGGCATCCCACCCTTGCCTCCTTTGTGGGAGGACAGGACACTCCAATGTGACTAGGCAGTGGCCTTCATGGAACCTTGGGCACCCTGCTGAGCCCCTCACAAGCAAGATCAGCTGAGCTGCGTCCTGTGTGCTATGACCACTCCCATCTTACAGAGGAGGGAACCGAGGCTCAGGCCTAAGTACCTGGTGAGTCAGAATTTGGATCCAGGCAGCCCAAAGGACTTACCCAGAGTCAACGTATCTACCAGGTGAAGGGGATGCAGAGCTTAACTAACATCCATACCAGTTTTGAGATCCTTCAAAATGTTTCAGTTGCTTAAAAAATCAGAAGAAGAATGAATACAACTCAGCCTGGATTATATTTGTCTTCATATTAACATGATTATTAAAATTTAACTTTTTTTTCTGGTACTGGGGATTGGATCCAGGGGCACTTTGCCACTGAGCCATATCCCCAGCCCTTTTCCATTTTTGTTTGGAGACAGAGCCTTGCTAAGTTGCTGAGGCTGGCCTTGAACTTGTGATCCTCCTGCAGCCCACAGAGTGGCTTGGATGCTAGGCATGGGCCACCATGCCCAGCTGTAAAATTTAACTTTTAATATGTTTTTATCTGGAGGAAAGGGTCCACAGAGGCAGAAGTGGCCAGGGTTTGTGACGAAGGTCATGCTGCGACTCTGGGCTGAACCACCTGGATCCAGGCTGCAGGTGCACATATGGGGCCCAGGGTCAGCCTCCTTTCTGGGAGAGAAGACAGAGGAACTGGGCAAGGCTGGAGCTCCCAGGAAGGAATCAGATAAACTCACTGGCTGGGGATGGAGACCTGGGGAGGTTTGGCAATTAGGAGCAGAGGGCTGTGATTTGGGATTAAAGGTTGTTAACAGAGGAGTAAGGCCCAGTAAACAGGCTGCAGCACTGCCTCCGGCCCTGCCCATTCACTTCCTGCTAATAGCTCCCCTGTGCCTCTCCACACCTCGGCCTGCTCTCTCGCCCCTTTCTAGGGAAGACTGAGGGCCAGTGAGCCAGAGAGGTGAGCCCTTCTGCCTAGGAGCACCCAGCAGCCGTGAGTCACAGTCTCCTGACAAGGGGGCTCCCTTTTGCTCACCGTTTCCTTTTGATTTTAACAAGGGCCCCTAGCAGCCCCTGGCTCCTGGCCTGGTCACAAGGGACCAAACAGTGAGTCACTGAGGAGCTGCCTCAAAAGCTAACCGAAAATTAGCTTTGATTCCCGGGGAGGTTTGGCCCACAGCTGTTCTGTGGCAGAAGAGGGGTGTTCCCAGGAAGAGCCAGGTTTCTGAGACAATTGCTTTCATGACCCACTTCCAGTCCTGGCCTGCCCAGGACAGGGCCCCTGCAAGCCCCTGCTGGTCTATACCTGGGGCAGAAGACGGAGGAGTGGAGGGCCAGAGGCTGGTGGGGACAACCCGGCTGTCTTCCGGGCAGACAGACATTGTCCCAGCTGAGGTTCGAGGTGGCAGTGTGGGTGGGACCTGGTCTGGAGGACACTTCAGACATTTGGGAAGGGTCTTGGTATGGCTTTCACACCACCAGCACCATGTGGCAGGGAGTGTCAGCAAGACCGGGGCCTGAGCGGCAGCTCCTCTGCTCTGGGGCTGTGTGAACTTGGCCAGTCCCATCCCCTCCCTGAACCCAGCTGCATCCTCCATAAAACAGAGACAAGTGACTGACCTTGCAGGGGTGTGAGCCAGATGGAAAGGAAGGGAAACGCGGAAAGCCCTCTGCAGGGCCTTGCCCAGGGGAGAAGCCCATAAATACGGGCCCCTCCTTCCCTCCCTGCTTACCTGGCCACAGGAGGCAGTGCCTGTCCCAGGAGCTCAAAGCACTTATCCCCATCGGGGACTAGCAGGCAGCCTGGCCAGGGCTCCGGGCATTTTGATAGGATCATTATCCCCACTTGACAGATGAGGAGAGAGGGGTGACAGGTGACAGGTGAGGACTGAGGGTTGATGCTGAGGAGTGAGGAGTGAGGGATTAGGGATGAGGGTGGGCGTTGGGGTGGTTGGCATGGAGACCAGGTGGAGGTGGGTGGAGGATCGTCCCTTCTTCTCATAGCCTCTGTTTCATCCCTCAGAACTTTAGGGATCCTATAGACCTCTTTGAACAAAGTGGGGGATCACCTTATTCCTGGAAGGACTGATTGCTCATCCAGTCAGTAAACTACATTGAGGACCTACTATGTGCTGGGGATACACTGGAGAGCGAAACCAGGCCTGGTTCCCTATTGGCTGGAGTCATTGAAGATTCTGGAGGTACGGGAGCTTTCAGGCATGGCTGGATCATGGCTCTGGCTCTGTTTCCTTTGCAGTTCTTCCTCTCCTGCTTCTTCTCAGGGGACTTCTTGTGTGGTTTCAAGGTGTCTGCATGTGCCACAAGGGCCTCCTGCTTCCTCATTCACGTGGGGGCAAGTAGAAGAGGCAAATCTTCCCACGGTCATCCCTCAAAGCCCCCTACTTTGTTTTATAGGAACAACATGGACCAATCTTTGTTGCAAAGAGAGTACGATGGATTGGCTTGTCCTTTGAGGCTCACCCTTGGTTCCAGGGAAGGGGAAATATGTCACCCAACTGCCCAGTTGCTGTGCCATAAGGGAAGGGAGACTCCCCAAGCAAAACTCTGGATTCTGTTAGGAGGGCAAATAGATGCTGCAGAAGCCATTGGAGCATGTCCCTCTACCCTGTGTGCCAGAACCCAGGGCATTTCTGGAACCACCTTCAGCATATCCAGAAGTGCCTTTTAAATCAGAGGTAGGATGAGGAGAAAGGCCTGGTCTTTTGAGGTGGGGGACAAAAAACAAATCTAAACTAATTTGATAAAATTGTGAAGCTGAAACTACCCCCAGAGAAACATCCAGAAGACCTTCAACTAGATTCGGGCGACTCTGGAGATATTCTCTCTAAGCCCCAGAATCTTCATCCAGAGATATGAATTTTGCTGTTCCAAGTTGTTGGAGGACATGCAATTGGCATCCAGGAAGTCACCATACCAAGAATGCCCCAGGGTGTCCCCTACCAGCCAGAACACAAACAAAACCATTGAAGGAATTGGGCTCCCTTACACAGAGAGAAATGACAACCATGGGAGGTAAGAGGTAAAAACAAACAGAACCTAAGCAAGGAGCTCAGGGGCTCTCAGAAATCTGCAACACAAAGGAGCCACCAGAAGGGGAGCGGCCTGAGCAGCAGCAAACACCTAGAGTTGCCCGGAGATGCTCAAAATAGGTGCGAATTAATGGTTCCCACATCCTTGCTAAGAGAGAAAAGACTCCAACAGGTTCAGCTTAGCAGACATTTATGTTTCCAACACTGTGTTGATGGACAGATGGAAAGGCTCCCCGCTGATCCCGGTGGGCACAGACAGGTTAATGTGTGCGCGTCTGTAGCAGGGGTGTGGCGTAGAGCATTTGGGGAGTCACAGAGGAGGGGACAATTAATTCTGCTTGGACAGCCTTCAAAGAGAGCTGTGGAGCAGCAAGCAGGGCTGTCACCAGAGCTGGGACCCTGAAGGGTAAGTAGGGTTCAGCTGATGGTCAGGAGGGACATAGAACAGGAGCTGTGGGCGCTGAGGCCCAGTCCTATGAATACCTTTCCTTTCTTCTGCAGGGCATCCCCTGTTCCTTTGATATCATCACCCAACTCCTCCCATTAGGGAAAACCTCTCTCTTAGTGTCTTTGATCAGAACTGCCCATCATAATGAGGCACATGACCCAGCCAGCCAATCAGTCTTTCTCCTGGGACTCTTTTCCCCAGAATTTGCGCTAGCTTAAGAAGAGCAGAGCCATTTGGTCTTTGGTGTCCTAAAGAGATTATTCATGATTACTGAAACTTTCCAGGTCCTAACCTTCCCAAGGCCTGGTGGATTAACTCCTCCTTCTATTTCATGAGTGGTCCAGCTTTCTTTCATCAATTTTTTTTTTTTTTTTTTGGTTTAGCCAGAATAAATTGCAAACAAAGAACGTTAGTCGAAATGGCAGTTGGTGCCAGGATGAGGATTATAGAGGATAGATCCCGAGGGAAAAAGGGAATCTGGGATAGGATTGCTGGGCAGAGATTTGGCATACCCTCCGCCCATCCACAGCTGATCAACAGCTGCCTGCTCACCAAGAGCAGAGCTTGGGGCCTTAGTGGTTGCTGTCATTCAAGAGGGAGGCCCCTGGGTGAGATGGTTGCTTTGACAGTATCAGGTCAATTAAAGAGGGAAGAACTTATCATCTCCAGCAGTGTTCACCATATTATATCTAACATTTGTTTATTTCTTTTGTTCTTTCCTAACAGAATGTAAATTCCTTGAGGGAAGGGAGCTTTCAGGCATGGTTGGGTCATGGCTTGCACAGAGCGGGCCTTATTGATGAACCAGTGCACACATGCGTTAACAGCAAGCTCTAGCTTAGAATTTCTAGAATAAAACCCACAAAGGTCATTTCAGAAAGGATGGAAGGAACTTGATTTTTATTCTCAAAAATCTGGGGAAGAATTGTGGAAATAAATGTTGAGGGTTTCTCCTCTAAGAATAAAACTTGAGGTCAGATTGGATTTATTAGCGTTGAGATGTTTCTTCTAGATCTGGTTTAACAAGAGATAGAATTTAACATTCATGAAAAAGCTATGGAAGTTGAAACAAAAAGAAAACACTAAGAATTTAACTCAATGAGAAGCAATTGTGGTCTCCTAAACATGAGAAAAATGTACCACCTTCCTTTAAATAAGGAGGGGGGTGTTGTGACTGATTGCACAAAAATCAAAGTCAGTCTAACTATCTGCTGCTTATAAAAGCACATATAAAAAGCTATTCATGGCAAGGTATTGCATGTCGAGTAAAAGATCTTTTGAACTTTCACAACTGTGGGAAATTGAGGGCTTGCTACCATGATTTAAAAAGCCACAGGAATAAAGCATTAAAAAGCTAGTGTTACTCTATAATGGTAAAAGATACATAGCAGAAAGCAATGACCTGTGGCTGGGGACTAACTGCTCATTTTCCAGATATTTATTATTAAACCCATTAATGAAGTACAAATGGATGACTGCCAAGGAAGCAGAGGATACTCATGTCGAAGAAATAGAAAGTATGACTCTTTCATACATTCACAGAAGAGAAAAGGAAAATGGCTGAATATTTTTGACCAAAAAAATTACGCAGCTCCTCTGTCTTTACTGGAGACTGTCTTCAAGGATTGCAAGGATAAAGGAACTCTGCTAAGTAATCTGTTTTGCATTGTAGACAAGGATGGTTATTCTTGTGGGGAGTGTGTGCCCTGTCTCTGGTGTTTCCATCCAACATGTCAAACACCCATGGGTTAACACTCCTGGTCTCCCTCCACCCATTCCCTCATTCCTCCCTGCGTGATTCTTACCTGATTGACAAGTTTGGGAGAAGCAACTGGGCATGTCCAGTTCGGCTCCTCTTTCTCCTTCCTCATGAAGTGCTGCCTGTCTGTGGAGGGTATGGGCTTTGGTCTGCTTAGGGGTGGGTGGCCAGCTTAGCTGTAAAGGCTCTGCCCCTCTGGGTGTTCAGCCTTGCGGGTGAGTATGTAGGCTAGTCATCTAATTCTGGTAAATGGAACTAGGAAGTTATTGTTCTCATAATCATAAGCCTCCTATTCTGATTTAGCCTTAGTCAAAACGTTCAAAGTCAGAAATCATTTGATCACTAGCCGACTGACTCATTTGTGTATGGAAAATGGTAATATTTAAGGATATTGCCTCCAAGATCATTAACCTCAGAGCTGATGAGATAGCTAGGAACTTAAAAGAAGGAGGAGAAGGAGGAGGAGGAGGAGGAGGAGGAGGAGGAGGAGGAGGAGGAGCTGAACTAGGAAGCAAAGTACAAATGGCATTTGAGGCAAGCTGCTGTGACAATCTCAGCAGAAACAGGCAGGTACATAGGAGGGGACTTAGCAAAATGTGAGTACTGGGGCTAGGGTTAGGGCTTACAAGGGGCTGGCCTTAGCACTTGGGCCGGGGGTAACCAGGGTCTTTAGCTGAGGCTTTAGGCAGCATGCACAGCTGAGGCGGGGACTCATTATGGGGAGAAAGAAAGACTCCCTCTATGCAAGTCCTGTCGCCCCCTGGGGACAGAACTATGATTTGCTGCTTTTCCTGTGCTTCTTTGGCCGGGTCTCCTGGCCAGGACTCTAGCTTCCGCTCCAGCCTGTGTGCGCACACGGGGCTGTGCTTCTCAAGCTTTAATGAGGATTTTGGTTCCTTTGGTCTGGGTGGGGGACTAAGACCCCAGCACCTGCCCCCTGCATTAGGATCTGCATTTTAGCAAGATTCCCTAGGTTACTTTGAGGCATGTTTTACTTTGGGAAGTGTGGCTCCAGAGTGCCGACGGTTTAGCTTTGGGCACGGAAGGCCTGAGTAGTTGTGCTGGGGAGAGGGAACGCTGTCCTTCCCTGTGTGTGTGCATGTAGTGAGTCTGAGAAAGAAACCGGCAACAGACCAATTCACAGGACAAAAGGTGTACAATTCATCATGTGCCTGGGGAACATCACCATCACGGTGAGAGACTTTCTAACCCTTCATCATAGGGGAGAGAAGTGGGGGTGGTAAGGCACTTTAGAGGAAGAGTAAATGCTTTGGTTGGGGAGGGGAGATGAAGGGCCTGAGGAAAGGGGAACTTCGAGAAGTCACAGCACCTGCTGGTTTCCAAGTGCCTTTAAAAATAACCGGCATGCCAAGGAGCTGTATTGTGGGGTGATGTCCCTGGCACCCCTTCAGTTGGGAAACATGTTTCATTCCATTTACACTGTTCTGAGGGGCCTCAGAGACAAGGAACTAAACCACAGCACAATGTTGTCAACCAGGGCTGATACTGGCCCTTGGGGAAGCTTTGGAAACACCTGTAGATATCAACAGGGAGGGTGCCACTGGCCTCTGGTGGGCACAGGCCAGGGATATCGCAAACACCCCACAATGCCCGCAGCAAAGTGATCCAGCCGAGAGGTCGCTCGCGTGGGATTGAGAAACCTGAGGATTGACCTCAAAGATGGCTGGCTTGTCCAGATGCACTCAGTCCCACTCCAACTCTCAAGCTGGCCTGGATGTCCCAGTTCCAGAAGTCAGGCCATAGCCAAGTGTTTGACTCCCCCCCAGAAGGATGGTAGAGAAAAAAATTTTTTAAATTATGGGCACTCTTACTATAAATATAGCATGCCACTAATCCTCTGTCTCCAGGATCCAGATTGCACAGGACATTTTAAAAGGAGCAAGAATTATTTGAGAAGTGTGACTTGGTGCATTTTTAATTTTATTTTTAAGAATCCGAACAGGAGCAGCAGCAGAAGAAAAACAAAACAAAGGAAGACAGGAAAAGAGATTTCCTTAGGATAGTGGTTCTCAAAATGCAGCCCCTCCCCCAGCAGCTCGGGCAGCCCCTGGGAACCTGGTGGGAACCTGGTAGAAACCCGGATCCCGGGGCCCCACCCCAGACCTGTTGAATCAAGTTTGGGCCCTGGAATTAATTTTGCTAAGACCCCCAGGTAACACTGAGACTCACTCAGGCAGGAGGGCAGCTGCTTAGGAGAAAGGTGGAGATGCCAGGGTCAGACCAGAAACATGGGACAGCGAGGTCTCAAAGGTCAGGCTTCTAGAATCTTCTAGCTGAAGCTGAGCCAAGGAGAAATCGGTGTGTGTGTGTGTGGGGGGGTGGGAATATAAAATGTGGACCATGATCCACTTGGGTTTTAGTTTGCAAGATGACAGACCCCTATTTAATCTATTTCCATGCTGGCACTCTCTCTCAGTGGAAGGAAGGTTTTCACAAAACAAGGTCATGAATGCTACCTGTCAGACAATTGTAGGATGACGTTTGTTTTAAGATGCATCCAGATTGCAGAGATGCTAAAATGAGGGGAAAATATGCATTGTAGAATAAAAGAATTAGGGTAATTTTCAGTCTATACTTTCTTCTTGACAATGTGGATAAAAGGAGAGGGTTCATATTCAAATGAGGGGCACTTTGTTGTTGGAATTTGCTATTTGAGTCTCCTTCTGATGTCATTTGGACTCATTGCAGAATCATCAACAGAATGGACTGGACAATAAAGATGAAATGATTGGAAATAGAACGTGGGATGAATTTTCAGTTTAGGGGTTAAAATGATGTATCTGGATCATGTTCAGCCATGACTGTAGAATCCCCAAATAATGGTAACTTAAACAAGATAGAAGTTATTTGTCCCTCACCAAAAAGAAGTTTGGAAGTCGATAGTCTTGAATGTAAAGGTGAGACTACAGTCACCAAGGGCATAATGTCCTCTATCTTGCTGCTCTGCCATTCCTCCTGTAGTACCTCATGGATCATTAATGATTGCTTGAGTGCCAGCCATGGTGTTCACATTCCATTTCAGAAGATGTTATGGTTTGGATGTGAGGTGTCCTCCAAAAGCTCACGTGTGTGACAATGCAAGAGGGTTCAGAGGAGAAATGATTGGGTTGTGAGAGTCTTAATCCAATCCATGAATTAGTCCTCCTGATGGGATTAACTGGGTGGTGACTGAGGTGGTGGGGTTTTGCTGGGGGAGGTGGAATTGGTGCGCGGCTTGGGAGTATATGTTTGTATCTGGTCAGTGGAGTCTCTCTCCACCTTCTGATCACCATGTGAGCTGCTTCCCTCTGCCACACTTTCCCACCATGATGTCCTGCCCTACCTTGAGCCCTGCGAAGTGGAGCCGGCCTTCTATGGACTAAGACCTCTGAAACTGTGAGCCCCTAAATAAACCTTTCCTCCTTCACAGTTGTCCTGGTCGGATCTGTTAGGTCGGTGGCGGTGACTTGGTGGCGACTTAGTGGCAACTGAGAACAAAGCAGCCCGCGCCGAAAAAGAACATCAATCAGATGCCTGTGGAAACGCCTGTCAATCAGCCAGATCTCCTGACTAACGCCTGTCAATCAATAGGACCCCCCTGGCCAATCCTGGAGTTCAGCCAACTCCCCTGACCAACTTCAAGGGGGCAAGGGACCCTAGAAACACCTTTTCCTGTCCCAAGCCCTTCCCTTCCGGCTGTAAGCCCCATAAAAGTCCAGTCCGGTCGAGCTTCCACGCAGTTTCTCCTTAGACCCTTCTCCTGTCCCCTCTGTGGGTCTGATCAGTTCCGCCCGGGAGTGATATCTCAATAAAGCCTGTTCAGTGGCCCTTTTAAATCTGCCTCCTTTGGCCGCTGACTTCCCCGCCTGATCTGACAGGGTCCTTTAGTCACAGCAGTGAGAAAGCTGACTAAAATAGGAGCTGGGCCCCAGTGCGGGCCAGAGGGAACTGGGGTCAAGTAGAGGTGCAGGCTGCGGTGGAGCTGGAGGAGGACCGGGGGAGAGTAGGTCCAAAGGGAGGAGTGAGTTTGAGGAAGGATGTGGCGGTGCCTCTCCTTCTGATTAGGGCCACCAGGCTCTCTTTTTGCTCAATTTGCTCTTTTGTTCTGCCGACACATTCTGTTAAAAGATTCATTCTTTTTTCAATTTTAAAAATGTAATAGAATTTTTGAAAATGGCCTTTCCATTCATCTCAGTCCGAGGCTGCTTCTCTTGCAGCA